TAGGAGGTGTAGAACTGTAGAACTAGGAGGTGTAGAACTGTAGAACTAGGAGGTGTAGAACTGTAGAACTAGGAGGTGTAGAACTAGGAGGTGTAGAACTGGAGAACTAGGAGGTGTAGAACTGTAGAACTAGGAGGTGTAGAACTGTAGAACTAGGAGGTGTAGAACTAGGAGGTGTAGAAGTGTAGAACTGGAGAACTAGGAGGTGTAGAACTAGGAGGTGTAGAACTGGAGAACTAGGAGGTGTAGAACTGTAGAACTAGGAGGTGTAGAACTGTAGAACTAGGAGGTGTAGAACTGTAGAACTAGGAGGTGCAGAACTGTAGAACTAGGAGGTGCAGAACTGTAGAACTAGGAGGTGTAGAACTAGGAGGTGTAGAACTGTAGAACTAGGAGGTGTAGAACTAGGAGGTGCAGAACTGTAGAACTAGGAGGTGTAGAACTAGGAGGTGTGGAACTGTAGAACTAGGAGGTGTAGAACTGTAGAACTAGGTGTAGAACTAGGAGGTGTAGAACTGTAGAACTAGGTGTAGAACTAGGAGGTGTAGAACTGTAGAACTAGGAGGTGTAGAACTGTAAAACTAGGTGTAGAACTAGGAGGTCTAGATCTAGGAGGTGTAGAACTGTAGAACTAGGTGTAGAACTGTAGAACTAGAAGGTGTAGAACTGTCAAACTAGGAGGTGTAGAACTGTAGAACTAGGAGGTGTAGAACTAGGAGGTGTAGAACTGTAGAACTAGGAGGTGTAGAACTGTGGACCCAACCTGCTCACTGAAGGTCATCATCCATATTCACTCTAATCTCCTGGATCCGGATCGAAGGACCGATTTGTTCCGATTCAGATCGTAAGAATTGGGTTTGGATCACAAGGTGGTGATCGCAGAATGTTGATCGATTAAAAGCCTCATTGATCCTCAATCAAATGATGAGGTGATGATTTCCTGGTTCTTTAAAAGGCAGATTCAGGGTTTAGGTGGATGGATGTGGATCTACAAAGGATCAGATAAATAAAACTTACAATCCACCATGATCACCAATAATCATTTTCTAAGCTACAAACATGATAATCACATTAGTTGTCTTAATATAAGCCCTTATAGCTTCGCTATATTTGGAATAAAAAAAAACCTTCTAATTTCTCCAGCCTTATATTTCAGTTACTAATAAAGTTACAGTAAAAGAATCTAAACATAATAT